AAAAAAAAAAAAAAAAAAAAAACATATTATATGGCACATGTGTACACATATATATTTTATATGTTGGTTTCAGACATATATGCTTATAAGGAAACTGCTTTATAAGATGTTTGTGAAGGTCTTCTTGGTTTCATCAAAATACGTGTTTTCTTAAACTTTTGATTCAGGATTTTTATACATATTAAGGAAAAAACAAAGAGTTCATGATACCTGAAAAGGTAGAAAAGTCTTGTGTATATTTCTTTTGTTTTCAGGTGAACCAGAATTTAAGTATATTGGAAATATGCATGGAAATGAAGTAGTTGGAAGAGAACTGCTATTGAACCTCATTGAATACCTCTGTAAGAACTTTGGAACAGACCCCGAAGTAACAGATTTGGTCCGTAGCACTAGAATTCACCTTATGCCATCTATGAATCCTGATGGGTATGAAAAGTCTCAGGAAGGTAAAGAATAGCAGCTGACTCTTAATATTTAATTTTCTTTTTAAATTTTTGCAATGCTGGGGATTGAGCCCAGGGCCTTCACACTGTGCTATATCTGTAGACCTTTATTTTTCTTTTCTATTTCAAGGCAGGTCTCATTAAATTGTAAGTTGCCCAGACTGGGTTCAAACTGACGTTCCTCCCCTCTCAGTCTCCCAAAGTGCTGGGATTACAGGCTTGTGCCACCATACTGGCTTTAATGGTTAATCTTTTGGTTATCATTTGGCATGATTGTTTGGGGGTTAGAAGAGAAATTGAATTTGTTGTTTCTTTGTTTTAAAGAATTATTATTTATAATTGGTTTTAGCTCCTGTACTTTGTGTATCACTCCTGTTTTCTGCATGTTAAGAAATTTGCTGTGGTTTTTCCTTCCATTAATCTGCCCGTGTCAGTTTTTTTTACTAGTACATGTTTGCAGTACATAATGTTTACATTCATCCTGTAGAGTTGGTACATGTACATAAGACATCTTAATTCCCTTTTTCATTCCTGTCTCTCATTGCTGGGACAAAATACCCAACTCCCAAATTTAAAGAGGGAAAGGTTTGTTTAGCTCACAGTTCGTAGAGGTTTCAGTCCATAATCAGCTGCCTCGAAGGCAGGGTGGCATGGCACAGGGCAACACTTCAAGGTGGCAGAAGACAACAAAAGCAACAACAGCTAAAGGGGAGGGAGCAAGCCTCTTTCCCTCCCTTATATTGTATGCAAGTTGCCTGCCCTCAGGTGGGTGTAGCACTCACACCATCCTCATGCCCTTCTCTTGCAAGACTCAGGTGGTTTACAAAATGAAGACCCAGGCCTCCTGCTGAGTCACTTAGTTAAACTTCTAAACTTCTCAATTTGACACAGTGAACAACATCTTACAGCAGTATGGACACGTTCTTTATACCTGAGGATGAGAACTGCTGAGTTAGTTAAGCTTCTAGACTTCTCAAGTTGACACAATGTTCAATATAACAATTTCCTTTCCCTCTTGTCCCTCCTGTCAGTTTATTATACAGTAAAATCATCAAATCTTTGGTGGGAAAAGAGGAAAATTTGAAACTTCTTTACAGAATCATAGGCTGGGGAAAGATGGGTTTGTTCCGTGCTAGGTGTCCTGTGTATGCCTGCTCTCCCAGCTCTTACTATGCTGCCCTAGGAGAGGTAGGATTGCCTAGAGGAGGCAAAGGAATGGGACATCAGTAATTTAGCAGGATTGGAACAGAACTGGGCCGAATGTAGTCTGGCTTCCAATACATTTGGTTTCATTTTTCATTTATAAAATAAGTTCCCAATATAATAATTTAACAAGAATTTTAATAAATAAAAGTTATTACTAAATTTTTAAATACTATTAAATATAAGCTTGATCACACAATGAATGATCTAGCCTATTTTACATGAATGAAATTTAAAATGTATGAAATTCAAATAACTAGGCAATTGAAGGTTATATACAGCTAAATAAAGGGATAGAAGCTTGGGCTTCTTGCTGTCCCAATGAAGGGAGTTGGCTCCAGGCTATGAAAAGTTGAAGGGAGAATGCACCCAGAGAGCAAGAGTTAGCTTGTTACATAGGTAAAGTCTGATGGGTAATAGCTACCTTGGTCATCTCCGGCTAGGCCAGGTGTCAGACCTCCAGTGTCTTTTTCCTATTAGAAATACTTGTCCTAGGGAGAAAGGAGAATATCAGATAGAAAAGCTTCTGTCTGCATTTGCTGTTTATTGATATAAATGGAAGCAGATTTCTTTTTACAAAAGGACAGCTTTTTAGAGCTATTCTTATATCTGTAATTTCTCTGAATAACCAACTTGAAATGTGCCCAGTATGCAGCTGCATGATTGATAACTTACACCTGACCACTGGGACAATCGACTGGTGTTAATACCCAGAAGCTCTTTTGAACAAATAGGCTTAGATTAATCCTAATATATTTTAAATATTCTCTCCCTGAGAACTTTATTCTTTGTCAGGATCACAAATCCCCTCTACTAGCTTTACCCCCAACACTTTCTGAAAGGAACTAAGTGCCACTTGTGAGCCCTCTAATTGTTTTTCTCATTTACTTGCAATTTTTTCTCATTATAATGTCAGTAATAGGGCTCCCACTGTATACTAAAATGGCGTATACACAGTTAAGTTTAAAGTGAACCCAGTCAGTTTAAATTTCCAACTGTATCCTTAGGTAACTTTACCTTTTTGTGATTACTTTAATGTAAGTATACTATACTTTTTATTTGGTCTGTTTCTTACATCGTAGTGAGATGTATTTAAGTAGAGTAGAGCCCCTATCTAGTCAGTAATACTCTGACATTTTGATTATATCATTGTGTGTGGATTACTGACAGTTGAGAAATGCTTTAATATAACTTAGTGGAATTAGGTTTTTCCTTTCAAAGTATATATAATATAGAAAAGATATATTTTTAATAGAGAAAAAAATGTATATTTAGTATCATCCAGTTGGATTCAGTTTAGATAATCCCAGGTTTGTTGACAGCTTTGAAAGTGTCCTAATCAGGAACCAGCCAAACATATGCTTTCTCTCCATCAAGCCTGATCACACTATTGACCTGGGCCGCCTCACTTCACAGCTTGTTTGATCTGATGCTTGTTGGCCTTGACATCCACAATGAAGAACACAAGTGTGTGTTGTCTTCTGTCTTCTTCATGCCTGACTCTATGTCATGGGGAACTTGATAATGTCATAGTGGACAAGCTTGTCTGGCCTGGAGGTGCTCTTCTAGGGATATTTGGGCTGCCTCTGGAGTTGCAGTGTCTTGGGCTGCAGGGAGATGGGTAACAGGAAGATCTCTTTGTGGCTGTAGATGCCTTTCAGCACTTCCTTCTTGGCCTTCAGAGCTTTTGCTTTGGCTTCAGCTGTGGGAGGGGAAGGAGTTTTCTTGTTTGTATTCAGCAGGGTCTTCGTAAAAATCTGGAAAATGTGTCTTAATCATAGTGGGATAGAAAATAATGAAGCCTGATGTGTTCACATGTACCTTTGAATTAAGATAGCTGAAGCAATGTGTGTTGGATTAAAATAAAGAAATGGGGGAAAAAAGAGTCAAGTTATATTGTGTACAGGTGCAACAGCAAACAGAAACACTGAAATGACACCCAGGATTTAGAGGCAAATTTATTTAACATAGGACAGGCACTAACAAGGAACCAATCCTTATAAAAATGTCAGGCTCCAAAGGCCCAAGGAGGGAGGGAGGTTTTTATGGGGTTACACAGGGGAAGTATAGAGGTAGAGTACTTGGCCTTCTTTGATTGTTTTTTTACTGTATGCATTGTAGTGCCCAGCTGTGCATCACAGTGACCAGCCATTTCTGAGACAGTAGTAACGGGGAGTGTAACAGGAACTATTACCTGGGCAACTAACAGGCTGGCTGGTAGGGGGGGCGTCACAGGTAGAAATTCACTATACTGAATGTGATCATTATGTATACCTAAAATGGACCAATAAACTTAGTTTATTGAAATATATATATATATGTGTGTGTGTAAAATATATCTTAAATTGAATTTTTTATCCTGCAGGAGATTCAATAAGTCTAATAGGCAGAAACAACAGCAACAACTTTGACCTGAACCGAAATTTCCCAGACCAGTTTGTTCAGATCACAGATCCTACCCAACCAGAAACTATTGCTGTAATGAGTTGGATGAAGGCCTATCCGTTTGTACTATCAGCAAACCTGCATGGAGGTAAGGCAACTTTATATTCCACTAATTGATTCTTGTTAAGAGAATTTGAAAATCCTGGTGAAATTTTATCTGTTTATTGTCTTAGGCTTTCTTAATTTTCATTATTCTGTTACTGCTTCTGTGGTAAGTGATAATAAAGATTTTTTTCTTATTGCTTGCTAGGCCAATTTCCTGACTGTTCTCCCCAGGCTCTTTTCCCCCTTCCTCCTCCTCTTCGTCCATACCCCATTTCTAGCCTCCATACCCCCTTTGTTTTCCTCTTGTACTTCTCCTCTCTTTTCTTTTCCCCCTCTCCTTTCTTTTCCCTCCTTCTTCCCTCCCTCAGTCTTCTCCCTCTTCTTTCGTTTTTGTCTTCTGTTTATCATCGTCCTCCCCGCTCCTCTTCATGTGATAGTTCTTCAAGGGTTTTATATTTATTCCTCACACTCAGAACTTGGCAACCTGTTCTTTTTCATTCATAAAAATTGAACATCAACAGTTCATAATGTTTAGTCCTATTTTCTCCTTATAGTTTAATAAACCCTTTTCTGTAAGTATAGATTTTGACATTCTCTTACTTTGACTATATATATATATATATATAACATATATATAAAATCTAACTGCAACACAGTAACGTTATTCTCATGTAGGGTCTGGGCTTACCACTTCCCATCATTCAGCAACAGTGGTTTGGTTGACAGAATGAGAGGTCAACATTAAAAGTCACCACAGTCTCCAGCTAGGTTTGTGAGGATAAGAGTGAAGGTAGCAATACCTACAAGAACTGAAAACATATGTGCAAATAAACTCGTATATGAATATTCACTGTACATGAGTGTTCATTCAGTATTGTTCATAAAAACCAAAAAGTAGAAATAGCCCAAACAATCATCAGCTCATAAATAGGTAAATAAATGTGATATATTCATATAATGGAAAATCATTTGGCATGAAAAGGAATTGAGTACATGCTGCAATATAGATGAACCTTGAAATATATGGTAACAGAAACCAGTCACAAGAGACCACAGGTAGTATGATCACATTTATGTGAAATGTTCAGAATAAGCAAATACATAGAGACAGATGATAGGTTAGTAGTTGCCTTCAGTTGTAATGAATAGTTTAGGGAAGGAAAGGGGAAGTGGTTGCTGAGTGGTTCTGGGATTTTTTTTTGGAGTCACAGAAATGTTCTATAACTAGCCAGGCACAGTGGTGCATACCTATAATCCCAGCACTGTGGGAGGCCAAGGTAGAGGATCCCAAGTTTGAGCTCAGCACAGGCAACTTAGTGAGATTCGATCTTAAAAATGAAAGAAAGAAAAAAAAGGAAGGAAGGAAGAAAGAGAAAAAGAGAAAAAATTTTGAAAGGTTAAGGATACTTTAGTGTGAAGGTCCTGGGGTTCAATCCCCAGTACCAAGAAAAAAAAATGTTCAATAACCAGATAGTAGTAATGGTTGTATAACCCTGCAAGTACATGAAACACTTTTAAATGAGAGAATTTAATAATATGTTAATATTTTGTCAATAACTTTTTTTTAAAAGACTGAAAGTATTAGCATCATGGGCAACAAGAAAGAAATTTAGTGTCAACATTTGTTGGGATGTCCAAAAGAAGTATTGTAATTGAGATTTTATGGCACATAAAATATAGCCTTTCATTTTAGAATGATAGTACATATTTACAGATATTTAGATTTAAGGAAGTAAGTTAAGAGTCTCTAAAAATTGTTTTGGAAGACTGCCAGTGGTACGGAAAAAAAAAGACTCTTGCATGGACTGTTCTCGAAAAATTATATAACAATTATAAAGTTACACCCTAGCTGACAGAATGCAGTTTCCTTTTTTAATATTTTATGTGCTTTCTGGTAATGTTTGATAGAAAACACTTTTTATTTTGAGTTTTTAAAAATATTCCTAAAGCACTTGGGAGACTGAGGCAGGAGAATTACCAAGAGTTGAAGGCCAGCCTGGACTACATAGCGAGAAACTGTTTTAAACGCCACCCCCCAAAATTTTTTAAATAAGTCACAGGTTATATTGGCAAAATCTGAAACTTACTGTTACAGTCTAGTGAAAACTAGAGTCACACATTTACATCATGAGTTTGAGAGACATGTTTTTCTGCATGACATATTTTGTTTTCTCATCTTGAAATCTGGCAAAATCATTTTAAAGTTGTTTTGTTTGTTTTTTCCAGTACTGGATATTAAACCCAGGGCCTCTACAGCGAGTTATATCCCCAGCCCTTCTTTTCCTATTTTGAGACATAGTCTCACTAAGCTACTAAATTGCCCAGGTCAGGCTCAAATTTACAGTTCTTCTGTCTCAGCCTCCCAGAGTACTAGGATTATAGATGTGTACCACCATACACAGCTGTTTCATTTTTCTCCCCTTTTTCTTGCTCTTCTTCCTCTTCCTCTTCCTCCTCCCCCTCTTCCTCTCCCTTCCCTTTCTCTTCTTCCTCCTCTTCCTCCTCCTCCTTTTCCTTTTTCCCCTCTCTCTGTCTGTCTCTGTATATGTGTCTGTGTCTCTCCCTGTCTCTATCTCTGTCTACCTCTCTCTCTCTCTACCTCTCTCTCTCTCTCCCTCTCCCTCCCTCCCTCCCTCTCTCTCTCTCTCTCTTTCTAGTACTGGGGATAGAAGCCAGAGCCTTCACACTGAGCTACACCCCCAGCTTTTTTTTTATTTTGAGCTGGGGTTTCACTAAGTTGCCCAGCCTGGGCTGGAACCTTCCATCCTCCTGCCTCAGTCTCCTGCAGTGCTAGAATTATAGATGTGTGCCAGCTCTCTTTTTCTTTTGGTTTTGTTTTGGCTGCAATAGGGAATAAAAAACTTTCTCTACTCTCTTAGGTTTATCAGCCAGAGTTTGAGTTAATAGTTCTAATAGGAGAAGGAAAGCATTTAAATGTTAATATTTAAGGGACATATTCATTGGAAAAAAGTAAAACTCCAAAAGAAGCAATTAGACTGAAAGATTATATACTCTTTTAACCAAGGGTAATACATGTGAAAAGTGGCTACACAAAGGAAATAGAAAAAAAAAAAAGAAAACATATCAACAGCACGATATTTCGTGACATGAAAATTATGTGAGATTTAAATGTCAGTGCCAATAAAGCTGCACTGGTAGTCGACCATGAAAAAAAAAAAAAAAAAACAAAGGAAATAGATTCTAATAGGGCAGTAAACTGTGGAAATCCTATTAGGAAATGTATGGGGGAAACTAATGGAAGATGTTTTAGTAAGATTTGTTTGTGTACACTGTACACTCATCTTAATCTTGACTCTATGTCTGATAATAAGTATGTTTTGTTCTTCCTGGTACCTGGACCACAACTTTTTCATGGGGAATATATACTCTGCATCTAGGCAGAAAGGGGGAGGCAGAGAGCCCTTCCTGCATCTGTTTTCCATTGTCATCAGCTCAAAGTAATATGCCAAAGTGACTCATTTTGAGATGGCACATTCTGATCCCTTTCACTGCCATTTTAACAATTTAGAAGAATTTTAAAAGACTATAGAGAAAAGAAAGATTTTTTTTTTAGATTTTTTACATTGAATTTATGTGTGTGTGCAGTGCTAGAGATTAGACCCAGAAAGCATTGAGCTACTGCCCAGCTCTTTTAAAATTGTGTCTTGGGACAAAGTCTCACTGAGTTGTCCAAGTTGGCCTCAAACTTGCAATCCACCTGGTTCAGCCTTGGGCATAGCTGGTATTACAGAGCCAGGTGATACTAATTTTTAAAAACTGAGGTGAAATTCTCAATCAACTATTTCAAAATGAAAAACTCCAGTGGTATTTAGTGCATTCATAATTCATACTCAGTAATTAACAATTTACCACCTCTATTTTGTTCTAAAACAGTTTCATCTTTCCAAATAGAAATTGCCTGTTAAGCAGTTGCTTCCATTCTCCTCTGCTCTCAACGTGTGGTAAACAGCAGACACTGTATTCTATGTATGGATTTATCTATTCCGGATATTTCATATAAATGCTACCATACAGTATTTACCCTTTTGTGTTTGGCTTCTTTATGTTCTTAGGGTACTTTCATGCTGTATCATTAATACTTCATTCCTTTGTATGGATGAATAATATTCCATTGTATATATATATACTGTATGTGTCACATTTTCCATTTAACCATTAAAGGATATTTGTGTTGTTTCCACTTTTTGCTCGTTTGTTTGTTTGTTTTGGTTTTTTGAGACAGAGTCTTACTATGTAGTCCAGGCTGGCCTTGAACTCACTTATGTAGCCCAGACTGGCCTCAAATTCATGGCAATTCTCCTGCCTCGGCCTCCCAAGTACTGGGATTACAGGCCTGCCCCACCATACCCGGCCTCACTCTTTGGCCACTGTGAATAATGCTGCTGTGGGTATTGGCGTATAAGAACTTGAGTTCCTGTTTCCAGTTCTTTGGGGTGTGTATATACTAGGAATGAATTGATAGGTAACAGGGTAACTCTGTGTGTGCCTTTTTGAGGGATAATTATACTAACTCAAGGTACACTTTTATATATTGACCATGCTGGACAGTAACAACTTTATTCTTTTTTTCCTATTGTCTGTCTTTTATTTTGCTCTTTATTTACATATCGGATTTCTCATATAAGAAAAACCATGCGATATAAGTTTGTCTGATGTATTTCACTTAATGTTATGTTTTCAAGGTGCACCCATTCTCCTACAAATGACTCAAGTTTGTCTTTCTTTATGGCAGATAGTACTCTGTTATGTATAAATACCATATTTTTTATCCATTCATCTGTTGATGGATATATAAACTGCTTCCAAGATGTAGCTATTATGAATTGTACTGCTATAAACATGAATATGCGTTATCACTATAATATGATGTCTTTAACTCTTTCAGGAAAATGCCTAGAAGGAAAATAGCTGAGTCAAATGGAATTTCTAGTTTTAGTTACTTGAGGAATCTCCATACTGATTTTCATAGTGATTGTACCAGTTTACACTCCCACCAACAATGAAGAAGTGTTCCTTTTCTCCCACAGCTTCTCCAGCATTATTATTTGACTTCTTGAAGATAGCCATTCTTTCTGGAGTGAGATGGAATCTCAGTGTTACTTTAATTTGCATTTTTCAAATGGCCACTGATGTTGAAATTTTTCCATGTATTTATTGGCCATTTGTACTTCATCTGAGAAGTGTCTGTTCATTTCAGATGCCCATTTTTTAAATTGGGGAGGATCTAATATTTTTGAGTTCTTTATATATGCTGGATGTTAGTCCTGTGTCTGATTAGTAGCTGGCAGTAATTTTTTTCTCATCCTGTAGGTTGTCTCTTCACTCTCTTGGTGGTTTCCTTTGCTGTGTACCTTTTAAATTTGATAGATCCCATATGTTGATTTTTTTGGTATCACTTTTTGTGCAACCAGAATTTCTGTCCAGAAAGTCTTTGGCTGTGTTTAAAAAAGTTTTTCCTATTTTGTCTTCCAGCAGATTGTTCTTCTGTTTTAATATTTGAATCTTTGATCCATTTTGATTTTAGTTTAGTGCATGGTGAGAGATAGGTTCTAGGTTTAATCTTCAGCATATGGATAGGCAGTTTTCTTAGCACCATCAAAGAGGCTATCTTTTCTCCACTGAAAATGTTTGACCTCTTTGTCAAACATAAGGTAAGGAGTGAGCCTAGAGCTGTTTCTGTATTCTCTATTCTGTTTCATTGATCCACAAGTCTATGTGTGCCCATACCATATTGCTATCACTGTAGCTTTGTAGTATAACTTGGGATCGGGGATTGTGATGCACCTTGCCTTACCCTTGTTTATTGCTTTCACTATTCTAGGTCTCTTTTGTTCCATATGAATTTTAGGATTGCTTTCTCTAGTTCTATGAGGGATGCTAATGGTATTTTGATTGGGATTGCATTAAGTCTGTATAACAGTTTTGAAAATGTGGCCATCTTGACTATATTGGTTCTATCTATCCAGGAATAGGGGATATCTTTCCATTTTCTGATTCATTGCAGTTTTTAAATTTATTTTTTGCAGTACTGTAAGGCTGAAACTCCAAGATGCTCTACCGCTGATCTGTATCCCCACCCATGTCAAATTTTTCAAAAATTTCATGACAGGGTTTTGCTAAGTACCCAGGCTGGCCTTGAATTTCTAATCCTCCTGACTCAGCCTCCCAAGGAGTTGGAGTTACAGGTATATGACACTGCTCAGCTGATTGTGGGTTTGATTTTCATTTCTCTGGTGACTAATGATGTTGAACATTTTTTTATATTTTCATTGGCAGTTTGTATATCTTCTTTGGAGAAATAGCTGTTCAACTCCTTTGCCAGTTTTTGATTATGTTTTTCTCTGTTGTTGAGTTTGAAGAGTTCTTTATATACTTTATATATTCTAGGTATTAGACTCTTAGGACACGGCTGATTTGCAAGTATTTTCTCCCTTGTACCACTTGTGGTTGTACTTCCTCAGTCATGTCATGTCCTTTGATGTATAAAGAGTTTTAATTTTGCTGAAGTCCAACTTACATATTTTTCCCTTTTGTTGCTCATGCTTTTGGTGTTGATGCTAATTATTTGCTGAGATTCTGGGTATTGACCATTTTTTATTTTCATATATATGTATAGCATATTTCGATCATACCATCTTCGCATTTCCCTCCCTTACTCCCCCCTTTGTTCCTTCCTCTTGTCTAATGATAGTATCTCTTGTACCTTTATGTCATCTTTTTTTAAGATTCCATGTATTAGAGAAAGCTTGTGATACTTGTCTTTCTTAGTCTAGCTTATTGAGCTTAACATGGTGATTTGCAGTTCCATCCATTTTTTTCTTCATAGCTGAATAATACTCTATTGTATATATGCTCCATTTTCTCTATCCATTCATCTCTTGATGGGCATCTAGATGTGTTCCACAGAGAAGTAGAAGCTCTGTTTTTAGTTTTTTCAGCAGCTGTCATACTGATTTGCATAGGGGCTGTAGTAATTTACATCCCACCAACAGTGTAGAAGTGTTCCTCATTACCATGTCCTCACCAGCACTTGTTGAATTTTGTATTCTTGATCATAACTATTCAGACTGAGGTGAGATAGAGTCTGAGTGTAGTTTTGGCTTGCATTTTCCCCATGACTGAAGAAGTTGAACATTTTTTAAAATACTTGTTGGCCATTTATACTTATTTGTCCATTTATTGATTTGGCTTTTAAAATTTTTTTTTGAAACAGGTTCTTACTAAGTTGCCCAGGCTGGGCTGGACTTGAACTTGTAATCTTTCAGCCTCAGCCTCTCATGATGTTAAATTTTTAAAAACTGTTTATATATTCTAGATGGTAATCCTCTGTCTGAAGAATAACTGGCAAAGATTTTCTCCCATTCAATATCCTGTCTCATCACTCTGTTGGGTTTTTTTTGCTATGTGAAACTTGGATTTGATGATTCTTGTTATTATTTCCTGTGTTACTGGAGTCCTATTCAGAAAGTTTTTGGATCTGCCTTTGACTTCAGGTGTTTCCTTTTAGCAGTTTCAAAGTTTCATGTCTTAATCCTAGGACTTTGATCCTTTTTGAGATGAGTTTTGTACAGGGTAAGAGGGATGTAGTTTTAATCTTCTACATATGGACATCCACTTTTCTCAGCACCATTTGTTAAAGAGGTTGTCTCTTCTCTAACATGTTTTTGGCTCCTTTGCTAAGAATTGCATGGCTATAGTTGTGTGGGTTTGTTTCTATGCTTCCTATTTTATTCCATTGGTCTACATGTCTATTTTTGTGCAAGTACCATGCTGTTTTGGGTTTTTTTTAACCATGCCATTTTTGTAACTATGGCTTTGTAGTATATTTTAAAATCAGTTATTGTTTGCATTGCTCTTTTTGTTCAGAATTGTTTTGCTATTATTTTATGTTTCTATATGAATTTTAGGATTTTCTCCTAGTTCATTGAAGAGTGTCATTGGATTTTGGATGGGGATTGCACTGAATCTGTAGGTCACTTTTGGTAATGTGACTATTTTAACTATATTAATTCTGTTGATCCACAGCATGGAGATCTCTCCATCTTCTAGTGTCTTCTTCAATTCTTCATTCAATTTTCTGTAATTTTCATTATAGAATTCCTTCACTTCCTTTGTTAGGCTGATTCTTAGGTATTTTTTCTTGACACTATCATGAGTGGAACTGTTTTCCTGATTTCTTCTTAGCTAGCTCATTGTTGGTATATAGAAAAGCTATTAATTTCTTTGCATATGTGTGTGCATGCACTCGTATGTGTGTGATATTTGGCATCGAACCCAGGAACTTCCCACTGAGAAGTTCCCTAACTACTCTGACCCTTGTGGGAAGCATAGAGGGAGTTGGTGTTCTTTGCATGTTTTAATTTTTTTTTTTTTTTTTATTTTAAGGATAAAAGGAGGGAAACATTAACAGACATACAACATGTTTTAAAACATCACTATGTTTACCTTAGGTCATAAAAAGTCATATGATATAACACCAATTGAATAATTTCCAGTAGAACAATAAGAGAAAGTTTTAGCTTTTTTTTTTTTTTTCTGATTAAGGACTGGTTTTGCTACTTATAAGTCATTAAAGCTCTCTCTTTTTAGATTCCACGTCTACAACCTGTGGATACATTAGGTGGGCCTCAAGAATTTCTTATTTTAAAATTACATAATTGGCTGAGGATATAGCTCAGCAGCACAGTATATGCCTGGCAAGTGCAAGGTTGTGAGTTAGATTCCTGGTACCAATAAAATAAAATTTGATAATCTTTGTTTTTATAATCTTTAAAATGTCTGAATTTTACTGAAAAAGTATAAAAGTTTGATCGTACATATTATAAAATTGTTTACTTCTGTAAACAATTGTTTGCCTGTGTACTTCTGGTTTCAATTCTGACAGGTTAAATTATACTGGTAAATTCAGATCCCAAGATCCTTTTAGTTAAGGCAACCTGTAGGCATCATGTATTGGTGTTTTTTTCACTTATGCACTTTGATTTTTATTGAGAAAATTCGTTTATTTTTTATTTCTTCTTCTTCTTTTTTTTTTTGGATGGTGCTGGGAATTGAACCCTGGGCTTTGTGTGTACTGGGAAAGAGTTCTACCACTGAGCTGCACACTCAGCCCCTGTTTGGGATTTCTGTTAACATTAACCTTAGCAAATTTTATTGATTTCTCTTCTCTGACAGTATTATGAACAAGATTATGTTTAATGATCCCTCTTGAAAGAGGTAACATGATACATTTTTTTCCTTTCCCTTGTAGGTTCTTTGGTGGTTAATTACCCTTTCGATGATGATAAACAAGGACTTGCCATATATAGTAAATCACCAGATGACGCTGTGTTCCAACAGTTAGCACTTTCTTATTCTAAGGTAGGCTTTTGTTTAAACATCAGATACTATAAAATTAATTCATTTTAAAATGCCTTAAAATAAAGTCCTACAATACACAGGCAAGTGCTTTCTTAGTTAAATGTTCCATGGCTACTTCAGTCAGCCTTTAGGCTTTTTCTCCCTTTTCTCCCCACATCATTTTTGAACGTACTAAGTATCTTTCTCCATTACCCTCTAAGCTCAGTTAATGTCTTTTTATCTGTGGTTTTTAGCATGCTACCTGGAATATATGTGTGATGATTTATTTAACAAAATCTTTAAATTATAAGCCTAGTAAATAGGCTAGAGGAGTAGGATTGACAAACTATCTATACTCCCAGGGCCAAATCTTGCCCACCACTTGTTTTTTGTAAATTAAGTTTTACTAACATACCGCCGCAGCCATACATTTACAAATCATCTATGACTGCTTTCCCTTTCAGCATTTAAAAACAAGTCTGTGTAATTTACCATATTAACAAACTAAAGAAGAACATTGCAGTCACATTACTAGTTGAAAGAGGCAGAATTAAGTAGTTATAAGACTTTTGAGTCTATAAGACCTAAATTTTTATTATCTGGCCCTTTACAGAAAGTAATTGTTGCTGGGTATGGTGCCACACACCTATAATCTCAGCACTTGGGAGACTGAGGCAGGAGGATCACTGAGTTCAAGGCCAGCCCTGGACTACATAACGAGTTCAAGGTCAGCCTGAACTACGTAGCAAAATGCTGTCTCAAAAAAAAAAAAAAAAGAAAAGAAAGAAAAGAAAAAATTGTCAATGGTTTAAGGTATTTAAAATCCTATAGTAATATGCAGTGATGGAAATCAGGCAAAAGTTTCTGTGTTTTCTAAACTTCATGTAAGAAGCATTGATTACTTTTTAAATCAGAAATACTAAAATTTACGTGGGAAAATTTCATTTAAAAATTGTTCTTAGAAAACATGTTACAGTCATGCATGTAGTCTTATGATAACTGCTGAGAATCAAAGACAGTGATGACTATATAGTAATCAGTCTCCCAGAATTTTTCCCCAAATGATACAAAATGACTTTACAACTGTCAAAATACTACCACCTACCACATACTATAAAAAGATGTTGAAACTGCAAAATAACTGAGTTTTGTTTTTTTTTTTTTAATTGAGAACTCTCAGCATGATCAGTCACCCATCCCGTCTTCACCCCACCATGGGACTTACCTGATGGGGAAAAGGATCAAGGTGCGATATGTATATGTACTGTACCTATGCAATATACCAGTTCCCCTACAATGAGTATAATTTATTGTGTATTGCAAACATATACTAATAAAAGGGGGGAGTATAAAAAATATCAGGAAAAGAAATTTTACACATATCTGTAAGAAAACCCTCTCACCAGTAAAAAACAATCCAGAAGAAAATTAGAAGTTTATACCCCAAACATTAAATATACAAGCAGGGAGAAATGAAAAGTTGATGTGTATGTATGTATCAATCTTTTGTATGTCCTGTGTATGTGTCAATCTTCTTTCTCATTTGTACTTTTGATGTAATATCTAGGAAACAAAGGTCACAAAGATTTATGACCTTTAATAGTTTTAAGTTATAATAGTTTTAGCTTATACATTTAGGTTTACAATCCATCCTGAGCTGGTTTTGAGATACAGTGTAAGGAAGAAAGTACAGTGTAAGGAAGAAAGATTCATTTTTTTACGTGTAGATGTTAACTTGTCTCTGCATCATTTTTTGAAGTTTTAAGTTATAATAGTTTTAGCTTATAAAACATACTTAGCACATCTATATAATTTAAAATTAGGTGGATGGATAAGTAGCTATTGATGAAAAGAGAGATAGAGACAGTCATAAAGATTATAGTGTAAGCCTTTCATGGAAATCCAGAAAGCAAAATGACATGTACAATTACTATAGTAATCTAATTCACATTAGATTACTGGGGATCTAGCTGAGGATGTAGCTCAGTCGTAGAGGCTTATCTAGCATGCACAAGGCCCTTGGTTCAATCCCCAGAACTAGGAAATAAAAGATAACTTTCCAGAGTTTGACTCATTTAGTCCTCATTACAACCCTAGAACAGTTTTATTACTGTTCCACTTTTTAGATGAGAAAATTTGAACTCAGAGAAGTTAAGTAAATTGCCTAAGGTTAAGAAAGAGACAGAGTTGGGATTCAAGGGCAAGTATTCCAGGAGATCCTTTGCAAATGGAAAGGGAACCAAGAGATGGAGAAGGGGGAGAGAGAAGAAGGAAAGAGGACATAAAAAGAAGATGTGTTATGTACAGGGACCAACTCCCCATGATGAATGTAAGCACTGTGTACTGCAGACATGTACTAATGAAAATAAAAATTAAAAAAAACCAGGCAGGTGGTTTGACACAAAATTCTATTCAACGGGTACATTATTTAGATTGTCATTGTGACTATGCAGCAAAAGCCAAAGGAAAGGTAAGCAGGAAATCAGTTTTAAAGAATAGAGTGATACTAATTTTTTAACCATTCTGTACTTCTTGTTGTAATATTTACTGTATTTGTCAGCACCCAAAAATAAATTACCTAGTTTACTATGTAACAATGAAGTATCAATACTGCTGCGCTCCTGTAAAGAATTGGTATTTTTTAAAATGAGTTTTATTAGAAGTGTGCTGTGTGATCCTAAGCCTTTAATTAGTATATTAAGTTTCTGGTTTAAAAAGTTTATCTATTTTAAAGTTAAATGGTTAATTCTCAGAGTGGTGAGAAAATGGAAGACTGTTAACTTCTCACACTTTTCTGGTATTTTTTTCTATTTCCAAAAGAGAGAAATGAAATTTTGACCATCTTTCACTGTTCAGTTTCCCCAGCCACTCTAGTCAGAAGTAATCTTTATCCCTTCTGGATTCCAGTAGCACTTATTTGTGCCTCTGTGGCAGTTTTTCTTACCTTCATTGAATAAGCAATTGTACGTGTACTGTATGCCAGACACACTGGGCTGGATGCTTGAGGACACAAAGATGCAGAAAGGAATATTGCTAGCAGTTGGAATATGATAATTGCTGTATATTGTACAAAGTACAAGGGGCCCATTTTAGCACCCCTAGAAGTCAGGGAAAGCTGCTTACTCCATATTATATGTATATTATTTTTTCTAGACTTTAAGCTCATTGAAATTATGAAATGAATGTATGAATATGAGGTGGGTTTTTAAAGAGACTTTGTGCTGGATTTTATATTACTTGTAATTGCAAGTAATAAATGAAGTCTTACAAATTTTTCATAAAGTGCATTTAATTCTAATTTTACAAATAAGTTTACATAATGAAGATCCAAATGGCATTTAAAAAAAAACTTACAGTGAAAAGTCTCACTGATTCCTATGGCTGCATTCAATTCCCACTTCCCATCCTTCACATTTCCTATTGGAACCACTTTTGTTGTTTTCCTGTATCCTTCCAATACTTTTTCATGCAGAGACCAACAAAAGATTCTTTTGTGTTTTTTCAGGAAAATTCCCAGATGTTTCAAGGTAGACCTTGCAAGAATATGTACCCTAATGAATATTTCCCTCATGGAATAACAAATGGAGCTAATTGGTATAATGTCCCAGGTAAAAATTTTCAAGTGCTTACAACTTGGTGGGTTTTCTACTTTCCTGGACAGTGCTGCTTGTTACTAACCTCTTTTTATTTTTTTTTAATTTTGAGAAAGGACAATTCCTTTAAAAAATATTGCATAAATAGTTAAAGACATTCAGATAACCTTTTTAACTCTTTTGCATTTGGTGCTCTTTGAGTAAAAGTAACACATTATAATGCCCCAAAAGTGTTACATTTTCCTCAAGTGTGCGTATAGGAAAAATGTAAGCTATACTTGAATTCTACTTGAACATATAAGGACACATTTGGCCTGGACCACAAGCATCAGAGAGCCTTCCCAAGAATGCGTTATTATTTTTCAACCAATGCTGATCCAAGATGAATTTGGCTTTTTACTAAGAATGCTTTCTACCTTGTAGGATCTAAGTATTAAAATGTCTTCATAATGACTTAATTTTCTGTCCTATAGGTGGTATGCAGGACTGGAACTATTTACAAACAAATTGCTTTGAAGTAACTATTGAACTAGGTTGTGTGAAATATCCTTTTGAGAAAGATCTGCCAAAGTTTTGGGAACAGAATCGAAGATCTTTAATCCAATTTATGAAACAGGTGACTATTCAGGAGTGAAGTATGATTTTTGTCCAAGAGCAAGATTTTTATGTAGTGATCTTAGAATATACCCTTTTAAATTCCAATTTGGTTTAGTGTATTTACTCAGTTTGTATTACAGTTTGTTTAGGATATTTATCTAGAAAATTTATGGATGTTACTGAGTTTATTTGAGTGTACCAGAAAGAGTTGAAGAAAATAACTAAACAAGTTAGTAACATTTTGCCCTTAATGGTTACTCATCACTTTTTATCTTTATAAAAGAAGCTAAAGCTACATTCCGAAACTTTTATCAAGTGATAGAAAGATGAGCTGTGGGGCAAATTGATTTTATTCTTTTTCTTATTGCCAGAGGTTTATTGTGAAATGTTTAATTTCCCTTTGTTTGTATATACATGGTGATCTGTAGGTAAAGACTATAAGAAAAAAGCGCCTGCCTGGCAAGTGCAAAGTCGTGAGTTCGGTTCCCGGTACCGGAGAAAAACCAAAAACCAAACCAAACAAAACAAAACAAAAAAAACCTTTAAAGGGCTGGGGATTTAGCTCAGCGGCAAAAGCGCCTGCCTGGCAAGCGCAAAGTTGTGAGTTCGGTTCCCGGTACCGGAGAAAAACCAAAAACAAAACAAAACAAAACAAAGACTATCAGAAAAATGCTAATAGTTATTTAGGATAATCTGACTAGTAAAACTTTGAACATTTCTGCTATTATTGTTTTCCTGAGTAGTATGGTATAAAGTTATTGGGTCTGTATTAACATTTAAAATCATTTTATTCTGAAAAAAATTAAATATACAGAAATTTTAAGGCTAGCACAATAAAGGAATACTCCTATTCCTATACCTAGGTTTAACAGTTTTTAACATGTTGTTATGTTTGCTTTATTTATATGAAACACATACACAATGCACATTTTTGGCTGAACTATTTTAATGTAAATTGGAGATGTTAAAGATATTTTACCCCAAAATATTTCAGCATCTCTCTCCCCAAAATAAGGATTTTCTCCTCTATGTCATTTCCAAATGCCATTGCCTCATCTAAGAAAACTAACAATAATTCTCAAATATTATTTAACACCTAGTCTATATTCAGGTTTCCACATGTGTCCCCAGAATGTAATTTTATCACTATATTTTGGAACCAGGATCCACTGAAGTTTTGTGCATTGCATTTGGTTATTATATCTCTATATAATTTCCCCATTATTTTTAAAATGACATTTTCTTTTTGAAGAGACCAGGCCAGTTTTCTCGTACAGTATCCTGCATTCTGAAGTAGGTACACTAACCAAAGTTTATTATTTTATTCTTTGTGATAAGGACAAACCAAGACTATGAAAAATTAGTCTTTAGAAATTAAAAATGTTCAATGAGTAAAAATTAATGAGTAAAACTCTTTACTCTGAACTAAATTCCTGTTTCATTAGTTTACATTATTAACAATCTGTTGTTTTGAATGCGAGCTGTCAAAGTAATTAGATGATGATCTTTACCATTAAAAATCTGGTGTTCTCATGCCTTATTCAGGTTCATCAGGGTGTCAAAGGATTTGTCCTTGATGCTACAGATGGCAGGGGTATATTAAATGCCACCATTAGTGTTGCTGAAATTAATCACCCAGTGACTACTTACAAAACTGGAGATTACTGGCGTCTCTTGGTTCCAGGAACTTATAAAATCACAGCATCTGCTCGAGGGTGAGTGATGAGTGCTCCAGAAGTGCATACTGAGGATGAAACAAACATGGCTCCATTCAGGAAGATTATTTCAGAAAGTCCTAGAGAACCTGCTAAGCAACCTAGAGTTCAATGCTGGGAAGTTTAGGGTTTGTTTCACTCTCCTCTAATGGAAAATTGAGTATGCAAAGTGTCAGATACAAGAAATCTATGCATCTTCACCTTTCTCTGTTCTGATGACCTAATCTTTATCGAGATACAAAGGCCATAGTGAGCAGTTTCCTTTACTGGTGATAACAATTCTGGGAAGTACCTATTAGTTGAAAAAGAAAATACTCCTGTTCTGCCACATTTTCTAGTCACATTGTCCAGTAGGTGCCACTGTGTTACATTTGTGTACAGAGCCTTTTAAAGCTCTATAGACAGTCATTTTTTTAGTGTTGTACATTTGCCTTATTGCTACAGAGTAGGGCATTTTCATCTTTTTTAAAGGTTTTATTCCCACAAATATTTATTTATTAAGCTTTTTTGCTGGCCTCAAACTCCTGAGCTTCCCCAATCCTCCCACAAGCCTCCTAAGTTAGCTGGGACTACAGGTTAGTATCATGGTTCCTAACCTATTTTTATTCATTAAAGAAAAGAGAGAAAATGGGCCAGGCATGTTGACACATACCTCTAATCCCAGCACTGAGAAGGATAAGGAAGAAGGATCATGAGTTCATTGTCAGCCGAGGCTATATAGAGAGTTAAAGGCCAGTGTTTGGTTGGTTTTTGGTTTTGTTTCTTGAGACAGAGTCTCACTATGTAGTTTAGTCTGGCCTTGAACTCACTGTGTAGGTCAGATTGGCCTCTAAATGGTGGCAATCCTGCTTCTAACTCCAGAGTGCTGGGATTACAGGTATCAGTCACCATGCCCAACTATGTTGTTATCCATTTTTTTTTTTAAGGCTTTCTAATATCTAATGGTGCATAAATGGAGGGGTTAGAACCTCACTACAGAGTAACAAAATCTTTTCTTTGGTTCATTTTGGCAGAGTACTACATTAGATAAATTACAGCAGCAGGGCGTTGAGAAGTAGGGCAAGAGTGGTATGTTTGGGAATGAATGTCCTAAATTGGTACTTCTCAAACTTTTCCACTCACATACCTTAATGGCAGACAAGTGAGTTCAGATTCCAGGAGACATGAGGATCTACTGCAAACACAAACTTCCATTTCAAGTCATACTTTTAATTCTAAAAATTCATTCCTATTTTGTATATACCAATGTCTCTTTGTTAATTATTATTTTAAAAAATTGTAAATTACCTCAAAGTTTAAAATATGATTCTTTAAGAAGATACACCACATTTATTCAGAAGATTCATGTGTCATCTGTTTCCCAGTGCAATACTTGTGTACTCCAGCTGAGAAATGTAGCTCTGCTCTTTCTGCTTCATTATAGGTATAACCCAGTTACCAAGAATGTGACTGTCAAGAGTGAAGGTGCTATTCAGGTCAACTTCACACTTGTTCGATCTTCAACAGATGCAAACAATGAATCCAAAAAAGGAAAGGGGGATAGCACCAGCACTGATGATACCAGTGACCCGACTACTAAAGAGTTTGAAGCTTTAATTAAAGACCTTTCAGCTGAGAATGGTTTGGAAGGCATCATGTTAAGCTCCTCCTCAAACCTGGCTCTTTATCGATACCATTCATATAAAGACTTATCAGAATTTTTGAGAGGACTTGTAATGAATTATCCACTTATTACAAATCTTACCACGTAAGTGTCACTTTCTAACTGCCGTTTCTTTTTCTTTTTTGTCCTTAAGATGATTTATTCAGCATCAGCCATGTTGAATAAGGTCTTGCTTAGAGATAAGTGTTTGGGACCTGAAGGTTCAAAGTTGGAGTTTATTTGTTTTGCAACAGATAACTGGTTGGAGATATTCCTAACAATGAATCTTAGAAACTTTTATGGGGTACCCTCGGGGAGAATTATTTGTTAAATTAGCAGTATACAGTCTGAGCCCTTATGAAATGTAAAATTACTCTTCCTAGTGCTTATAGTTGCTGAATATCAAAGTTCTTTTCCACTTTGCAGCTGCAGATTCATGTTCTGGCTAAATATTGCTTAGTTTTATTTTGATGATGGCATGGGAGGAATATGGAACTATTCAGGGATCTATTCAGAGTTTATCTGGGATCTTCTGTAACCTTTTTTTTTTTTTTTTTTTTTCAGATTAAAAAATGAGTCCTCATAGCTGTCACATCTTGTACTCTAATCTATTCATAGTCTGTCTTAGCCAAAGCTCTAGGAACATGCTTGAGATTCCTGGAAAAACATGTAGAACTGGCTTATGTAGAACCTATGGTTGAGCCAACATTTCCGTTCACTTTCTGGGGTTTCTCTGCTTCGCTTGCCCTGTTTCATTAGAAGCCTTCTTTACGTCTTGTTAGTTGCTCCAAAACTGTTTCCATGATTAATTTATTCTTACGTAGGTAAGGTCTTGACATTTTCCCTTAAGTTTATACTTTTGTTCTCATATCTAATGAACATGGTCTGCCCTTTTACCTTTTTACTTTATCTGTCTTCATTGATCCTTTTAATTTATCAGAAAATTTAGCTTCTGAAATTCTTTTTTCTATCTTCTTAAATTCCAATTTGTAATTTTTACAGATGCAAGGAGTGATATTTACTTTGGCAATGTAAATACTTCCTTTCCTCAACTGATTCTTCAGTCAACTGATTCTACCTTATTCAGATTTTAAAATCATTCATCTTAGCACCATATAGAATTTTAGTATCACTGAACGCTATTATGAGGAAGAATAATTTTTTTATTCTATTAATCTTTCTCAATGCTGATCTATTTTTCTAACTCTGCTAACTCTCTCCTTGTATTAAAGAAAGCATACCTTAAGCCAAGAGCTCTCGTGGGCAAGCAAAACATTTGACCATTGTTTTGTTTTTACTGAATTACTTTTGCTGCAAAACTAATGTTGCATTTATAGTAAAATATAAAGTCTCATTTACATAGGTTTAGATTTTAAAAGGGAAGTTATATGTAAATATTTCCATAATAAAAATTTAAGTGAGTTAGTTTAAAAGACAGATTATTTATCACATACAGGTACAAATTCTCTATGATGAATGTGATCATTATGTATATCTAACGTGTACCAATAAAATCTGATTTTAAAAAAGACAGATTATAGAAAATAGGAAAAAATACTGTGAAGGTGGTGTGAAAGGACTGAATTTGGAGGAATGCTAAACTAAATCATAATATTTCCTAAATCTGATAATGGTTTACTGCTGTTTGACTTTTTCCAGTTTTCTGGAAAGGATTTATTTCTGATCTAAGGATTTGTTTTCTGATCTAAGGATTTATTCTTTAAAGATTTTCTTTAATTAAAGGTTTATTGTGTTTTATGTTTGTTTTTATTTTTAAAATCTGTAAGTCAGAGTTAACATAGTGCTTAATTATTTGCTGACTTTTTGTTTCTGGCCTTTGAAAGTTTGGGACAGAGTGCTGAATATCGTCAGATTTGGTCCCTTGAAATCTCCAATAAGCCCAACATGTCTGAGCCTGAAGAACCGAAGATTCGTTTTGTTGCTGGTATCCATGGAAATGCTCCGGTTGGAACTGAACTGCTTTTGGCTCTGGCAGAATTTCTCTGCCTGAACTACAAAAAGAACCCAGCTGTTACCCAAGTAAGAGAATAGCCTGTTTTGACATGTTTTAAAAGGAAAAAGCTCAGTGATACATTGATATCAGGCAACCATTTAAAAATTCTTAAGTTTCTTGTTAGATTTTTACACAGAGGCACTTTTGGTATATTATAAATGTTGCTCTTTAAAAAGGATCAATTTTTGTGTATACTCATTATTAATAGTGCCTTTCTATTATATTTCTGTGTATATATTAAGAGACATGGAGAAAAAATAAAGGTTTGTATTCAGCTCTTTACTCTTTTACTTAAGCCAAATTACCCTTTTTTTTATAAATTTTTTTCTTGGTACATCTGTGGAGTACATGATGATTAGATTTGTCCTGGGGAGTCTGTGCATGTACATAACAGACCTTCTTTTTTGTTGCTGTTGTTCCCTTTCCCTCATCCCTGCCTGCTCCTTCCATTTCCTGTTCTGCTTTCCGTTTGCGAAGCAAGCTAACCTTCTCAACTTTTCACTCCTACTGCGTCATAACCTGAGGGGGTCTGTAACTAGGGTACTACAGTGACACATGTAGTGAAAGACTGTTTTTCTTTCCATGTAGTAAATTTTAAAAATTGTTTAATAGTGTGGCTTCTAAGAGAGTCTACAAAAAGTGCTGTGGCATTGTCTCCTTTAGCCAGTGACTACAGAAAAGAACTTTGATCCATGGGCTTGATCATGTATGATGAGACAAGCAGTCTAGTTCTGTGTTGTCTTGGGGAGAGGAAAGAAAGAGTACATTCTTCTAGAACTCTCTCTAATCGACATTGTCCAACTTCAGTAAAGGGGGAAAGAACTAATATTTGTTGAGTATATACTGTGTGCCACCTGGGTGCTTTGTATATATCATGCATTTAATTTTCAACCCTATAAGAATGATTATCTCCCTTTTATACATGTGGAAACTGAAGTAGAGTAATTTGTTAACTTACACAACATCTTTCAGCTGTAATTGGTAAAACAGGAATTTAAATCCAAACCCAAATTAAGAGAGTAATTTTTATGTTTTTTTTCTGTAAAAAATTAAATAGCACTAAGTGTATCTCACTGTAGACCTTCATGCAGTTTTGTTCAAACATACTGCCTCCCCCAGAAGTTATTTGGAAAGCATTAATACCATATTTAAGATCATGACATGTGACGAGGTGAGATGAACTTAAATGAGACTTGATCAAAAATTATTTTGCAATCTTCAGCAAAGCACATTGCATTATGACTTCTTATAAGTTGTAAATAGTTTCTCAAAGACATTTTTGTTCTTTTTTAAAGTGGGAGAATATTTAAGTCAGTTTTTTTCAACCAGACTGCACATTTAATTTTTTATTTTATTTTGTTTTTTGTTTTTGTTTTTGTTTTTGTCTTTTTGAGACCGGGTCTTGCTATGCAGTTCAGGCTGGTGTTGGGATCACTTTATAGCCCAGGCTGGCCTTGAACTCTCAATGATCCTCCTGCCTCAGCCTTGGGCTGGGAATGTAGCTCAGTGGAATTGTGCCTGCTTGGCAAGCACGAAGTCCCGAGTTCTATTCCTGGTACCAAAAAACAAACAAACGAAGGAACTCACAATGATCCTCCTGCCTCAGCCTCCCAAGTGCTGGGATTACAGGCGTGCACCACCACACCTGGCTAAGGACTGCACATGTGAAACACCCAGGAGACATTAGAAAATATCAGTACCTAGGCTTCATCCCCAGGTAGATCAATTTCTTTAAAAACTCCTTAGGCTCCCAAAACCCAGTAAGGTTTTTTTTGATAATACTAGAGATTGAACTGGGACCTTGCACAGGCCAGGCACGTGCTTGCTGTACTTCTGAGCTATCTCCCCAGCCCAGGTTTTCTTGCATTTAGCTAGATTTGTGACTTACTGGTCTGTACAATTTAGTCCTAGCAGCAGTTTCAGAACTCTTTCCGAGAGAACTTGCCTCAATTGTTTAATTGGGCTTGAATAATCATTCATAATACATTATCACTTAAGATTGCCTTTGTTTTGACCTAAGGGTCAAAAGTACCCAGCATGACTATACAGCATGACTAGAGATCCTCATCACCAGAAATTTTGATCCAATAGGCCTGTTATAAAGTCTCAGGTATACCTTGAAAAAAACCTCCCCCAGGGAATAGATTTAAGAACCAATACATTAAAGGGTCTCAAATATTTCCAATTTATAGACTATTTTATCAGAATAAATAATCCAGGGATCACTTGTTCTGACTTACTACTAGAAATATGTATATCAGAAATTAGTTCATGTCACATGTGCAGATATTAATGACTGTGGCTCATCTGGATGAGAGATTATAGGAAGACATGTATCCTACCTCATTGTATTTTGATAAGCTGATTTTAATGCTTTGATCTCATTGTTTCCAGCTATACATTGATACTTTCAGATTATATGTTTCAATTTTTAATTCAGAAAATAGTCTCACCATAATTACTGATTTAAGCCGGTGATCAGCAAACTTTTTTTATGAAGGGCCAGATAATATATATTGTAGGCTTTGTGACGCAGACATTCTTTGTAGTAACTACTCAACCCTGAAATAGTCATATGTGACTACATTAGAAAACAGAAATAGTCATATGTAAGTGAATGAGCAAAGCTGCTTACCAGTAAGACTTTATTTACAAGCTGGGGATGGTGATACACGCCTGTAGTCTCAGCACTCAGGAGGCTGAGGCAGGAGGATCACTCTTGAGTTCAAGGCCAGACTTGGCTACCTCAAGTTCAGGACTGGCCTGAACTACATAGTGAAACCCTGTGTCAAAACAACAAAAACAAACAAAAAAAACCTTTATATACAATAATAGGCAGCAGACTGGATTTGGCTTCAAATGTGGTTCTAACCCCTGTTTATGTCATTATCAAACATTAGTTATCCAGTAGTTTTTATATGTCTGTAGGATGCTCTACCAGTGAGCTACACCCACAGTTTGGGTATAGTAGGGAACATCAGCCATACACTGCTTTTTGTTTCTTTTTACATTTGTTCAGAGCAAGAGAAAATTTTAGTTTACATTTTTAAAAAATTTCTAGTTTCTAATTAACTACATGAAAAATGAACAATAAATAGTTTTATTTGAGGCATGGGAAGGCACCTAATGGTGCCAGATAGAGCTAATGAATTCACCGATACCTGTTTTTGTCTTAGTTGATTGACAGGACCAGGATTGTGATTGTCCCTTCTCTGAATCCAGATGGGAGAGAACGAGCACAAGAGAAAGACTGTACTTCAAAGATAGGACAAACAAATGCCCATGGCAAAGACTTGGATACGGACTTCACTAGTAAGACTAATTTTTAGGCACTTCTGGTACTGTGACATAATTATCTATGCCTTTGCTAGGAGATTGGTTGATTCTGTTTTGTGGATGAGTAGTGGAGTTCTTTGTGTCTAGGTTATGATTATGAGATATAAATGAATACAGATATAAAAATTGTTTTGAATTTTTCTTTTTCATTTGCAAAAGTTATTCGTTTTTAAATAGAAATTCAATCAATATTATTGGAGTGTTCCATCACTAGTTTGTATAGAGTTACATACTCTATCTCTCCCATGTATATGTACTCACACACACTATATTTATATGTGTGCTTGGAGGAATCTCTTATTTACTTAAATAGAATGATCAGTTGTACATTTTGCCCTGTAATTTTTTTATTGGATACATCATTGACATTTCTCCATTTCAGTACTTATAGATCCCATTTAAAGGCATTTTATTCCATTAGTATATGGCAGTGGCAATACTTTATTCAACTATTTTCTTTTTTTTTTTGTTTTTGTTTTTGGTTTTGGTTTCGGTTTTTCTCCGGTACCGGGAACCGAACTCACGACCTTCCACTTGCCAGGCAGGCGCTTTGCCGCTGAGCTAAATCCCCAGCCCCTATTCAACTATTTTCTGATGGTGAACATTTGTTTCCAGTTTTTTTGTTCTTACAAATATTGCTGCAGAAAACACTTTTTTGGTAAATCTTACTTTGTTTCAAAGATAGGTGATATTTCTATATTTTTTGTTTGTTTTTTTTTTGTCTTTTTGAGACAGAGTCTTGCTATGCAGTTCAGGCTGGCCTTAAGCTCACTTTGTAGCCCAGGCTGGTCTCAAACTTGCAGTGATCCTCCTGCCTCAGCCTCCCGAGTGCTGAGATTACAGGCTTGTGCCACCACGTCCGGCTTTATATGTTATTTTTTAAAGCAGGATATACCCATCTTTCCTTTCACTAAGAATTTTCTTAAACTTGTCTGAGTGTCACTAATGTACATTGTGCTAAAGTATGTAAAACCCAGAATAACCATTCTTCTAGACTATATCTTGCTTAAGACAGTGGTTTATGGAAAAATAAGTATCTTCCAATTTTTAAACTCATTGTTTTGATTATAAATTAGAGAATATTTTCTTAGATACTTATACTAAAACTTAGGACTTGTTATTTTATATTTGATTTTTCTGTTTTTTAGATAATGCCTCCCAGCCTGAGACTAAAAGCATCATTGAAAATTTAATTCAAAAACAGGACTTCAGTCTTTCTGTTGCTTTAGATGGTGGGTCTGTGCTGGTCACATACCCATATGACAAGCCAGTGCAGACAGGTATGTAGCATGTCACATCACATTTGTGCTATTTAAATGTAGGCAGGAAATTCAAAGTAAGTAATGTCTCTTCTGATTTTTAGTGGTGGTCATTTGGTTACCTTTCATGAGAAAACAACCAACCTAAGAATATTGTATGTTCTATCCATCAACAATTCAGACAGTTGCTTGGCGAAGTCAAATCTAATGAAGGCTTAGCTTTATTGAATCTAGTTATTTTGTCCCACATTTAATTTAGTTCACAAACATTTATTGAGCAATTATTATCTGGGTAGATCTTGTGACTACAAAAGAATACAATATGATACAGTACTTGCCTCAAGAAACTCATATCTAACCAAATAGTAATAGTATAGACTTGCTGTCTCCTGCTTTAAGCCTGGATTGAAGTGTTGCACCTTGGTGAGTTTAGAACTTGATTGCTGAACCTCTATGGAGATAGTTTTTTTTTGTTTTTTTTGTTTTTCACTGCAGCTTACAGGGGATTTTGTTGTTAGGTACCAAATGAGGTAAAACACACCAAAGTAAGTTGAATTTTAATGCAATAGCCTGTCATGTAAACTCACCATTAGTATCTTTGTTTGTTTTTGCAGCACTGGGGATAGAACCCAGGGTCTCCTGCATGCTAGGCAAGCACTCTGCCACTGAGCTACATCCCAGATAACCATTAATGTAAGGAAGACGTTTGTCTTCTAAGTCTGGTTATTGTAGGCAAACAAAACCATATAGTTTACTATAATAACTCCTCAAGAAACTTCAGTGAGGTTCAAGATTCAGTAGAAGGAGAAGATAAATTGTATCCATGATGTTGAATTTGAACAAAAATCTTCATTTCTATACTGACTAATGAATTTTTCTTTTTTGTAGTGGAAAACAAGGAGACTCTGAAACACTTGGCATCTCTTTATGCAAATAATCACCCATCAATGCACATGGGTCAGCCCAGTTGCCCAAATAAGTCTGGTAAGTGTTTTCCTTATCCTTTGTTTTTCATTACAATTATGGTTGCTTGCCTTATGGTCTTATTGAACCTATGTCTCTCTATGCTTTTATAGATGAGAATATCCCAGGAGGGGTAATGCGTGGAGCAGAATGGCACAGTCACCTGGGCAGCATGAAGGTATGCGTCATAAAACACAGTTAGAATGGAATTGTGACTATTGGCTACTGAGTGAAAGAATATTTTTCTGATACAGCAAAGTGAATGGCATCTGCCTCTTATCTTTCTTGACATGCTTAGACCTTAAATTAGCTTGATCGTCCTCAATATTAATAGTAAACAGGCAAGCACAAGGTCATGAGTTCAATTCCTTGTACCGGAAAAAAACAGTAAACACCCCCCTTCGCTCTCCTCTCCTTCCTTCACTTGCTGTCTTCCTCTCTCCTTCTTTCTCACCATTTTAACATTTTTAATTATACAACTTAATGATACTGATTATACTCACAGTGTTTCCCATCACTCTATTCCCAGAACTTTTTCATTGACCCAAACAGAAATTCTGTGCTCACTTAGCAATAACTCATTATCCCTTCTCCCCACAGCCTTGTTACACCGTTAATGTACTTTCTATCAACTTGCTTACTCTAAATAGTCATATAAGTAGACTCATACAATATTTATCCTTTTGTTTTTAAGAGTTTTAAGCATGATGTTTTTAAGAGTTCATCCACTTTATAACACGTATCAGTCCTTCATTGTTCTTGGTAGCCAAACAATACCCCATTGTATGTGTGTAACACATTTTGTCGGTTTCTATGTTGGTAGACACTTAGGTTGCTTCTACTTTTTTTGTTTCATTTTGCTTTTGGGGGCTTGTTTGTTTTGTTTGCTTTGTTTTTGAGACAGGGTCTCACTAGGCAGTTCAACCTCTCCTTAAACTCACTGTGTACCCTAGGCTGACCTTAAATCTGTGGTAATCCTGCTGCCTCAGCCTGCCGAGTGCTGGGATTACAGCCATACACCGCCACACCCAGCCTCTACTTTTTAATTATTGCTAATAATCCTGCAGTGAACATTGACATGCAAATATCTGTTCAAGCCCTTGTTTTTTCAGTTATTTTGGATGTATGCTTAGGAGTGGAATTGTGTCCCAGCACTGTTTGCTGACAAGACTATTCTCCCATTGAATGATCTTAGCCCCCTTGTCAAAAATTAGTGGAGTATAGATGCAAGGGTTTATTTCTTGACTCTCATTTCTGCTCCATTTTCTACATATCTACTTATTATATCTTTGAAATAGGTTTTGAAATCAAGAAATATGAGTTCTTTAATTTTGTTGTTTTTAGGGGTGGTTTCTTGTTTTTTTTTTTCTGGTACCGGGAATCAAACTCACAACCTTGTGCTTGCCGGGCAGGCGCTGTGCCACTAAGCTAATCCCCAGCCCTGTTGTTTTTAATAGTTGTTTTGGCTATTCAAGACTTCTTGTAATTTAAGGATTGGCTTTTCTTTTTTTTTGCCAAAAGGGCTTTTGGAATTTTACTAGGTGTTATGTTGGATTTGTAAGGCATTTCTGGTAGTATTGATAACAATATCATCTTTCTTTTTTTTTTTTTTTTTTTTTTTTTTGGTTTTTCTCCGGTACCGGGAACCGAACTCACGGCTTTGCAATTGCCAGGCCAGTGTGAGTTTCTCTTACTGCCTCCGGGTCCCTCCTGAAGGTTATCTGATAACATCTACATGGGGGTATTCTGGGTGTATAACCTGGTTCAAGTCTGGGAATTGTCTTAGCTGCTGTGGTTCTCTGTAGTATTGATTTCAGGTACCTTTTTCAAGTTGCTTTGAAATATTTCTGCTTATATAGTTTTAATAAATATTTAATAGACTTCCTCTCTATTTCATGTCTGGGAGTATCAT